ATTATATTATATTATATTATATTATATTATATTTATACGTATAATATTATATTTTACATAATTATATAGCCTATAATATACTTTATATAAAAATATATTATAGTATATAATATCTACATAGAGACGTTATTTCCGGGTCCAATACATTGCTGGTTTTCGTGCAAGTCAGCAAGTCCTTGACAGATTTTTTTCCCCCAGTCTTTGAAGCATATTTCCTACATTATTTATTTTATTCATTTTTTTTTTGTTCAGTCATTTCATTTAGATGTGTATTTCTATTTTTTCTGCCCTTTTTAATGATTTTTCATTTATAAATTCATTTAAAACAACAACAATAAAAAACGAGTAATAAAGTGTACAATAAAGTACAATCATATCCTTATATTATAATCACATTGCACTTGGATAAAGTTAAAGGTGTAATCTGCCGATTGTCCTGCAGGTGACTGCATAAATCTGTCTTCTTACAATGCACTTAGGGCTTTACGATTACTCCAGAGCACTCGTAGATCTACGATGATTTTCAAGTGCTACTTAAGTTACGATGCTTTTGGGAAACAGACCGTGATATTAAGATCAGTCGTACGATCGTTTTTACGAACTTCTTAGGCTTACGAAGCTTTTGGGAAACGCAGCCCAGATTTGAGAACCAGAACGAACTGTTGTATAAATATATATATCCAACACAAAACATCACATCCACTAGTACACCATACAATATATCCGTGACTAAAACAAGAAATATCTAGGATCACATATTTATCACTTTTATACAAACCTATAGTTTAAATTGACAATCATCAATATCTACTCCACCAATTAACTTTAAATTTATTAACAATGGAAAATTCAATAATTAAAAACATCAGAAATACTTCGTCATAAACAATCTTTAAAAGAAGATTGTTCTCGTGAGTGCGGATCATAATTTCCTATACTAAGTAACTTAACAGATTGACGCACCAAATAAAAAGATCAAGTAACGGAAGAGCGCAGTGCATACGGCGTTGTTGATCTTCTCTTACTCCCACATATTGACATTTTTTAACGTTTTATGTGTCGTGCAGCAAGTGTATGTTAGCTTATGTCCCGCCGGTTGATATGTACACATCTAACCTTCGAACCACAGAGCAGATTCGTTCTGAATGAATCTTTCGTCTTGTTTTTTTTCGTTGATGAAAATGTCAATAGATTTTCGTCATAGTTTTTGTCATTCGGAACGAGTTGGTTCGTTATCGTCTCATTTCCGTCGGTGAATAAAATGTTGTTGACCAAAATTGTGACGGAAATTATTCGTCAACGAAATTAACACTGGTTCATAGTATTTTTTAAATAAATATATATACACTGAACAAAATTATAAACGCAACAAATAGGCCTTTTGTGTACATAGAAAAAGTCTTAGATCTTTGAGTTCAGCTCATGAAAAATGGGGGCAAAAACAAAAGTGTTGCGTTTATAATTTAGTTCAGTGTATTTTAATAACATTTAATTAAATAGTATTTAATATGTATATAATATATTTCTTACTTAAAGATTATGCCACATTTTGCTTTAGTACACTCTGAGACCAGGACACTTGTATGACCCTGTATCACCCTTGTATATAAAAAAAAAAAAAATTATAATAATAATAATTCACAGACAGTTTTCCAGACACAGTTTAGGTCCGTTCCAAGATCAGATTCAACCATCTGACGTCTCAGATTAAGTCTATTCCATGTCTGGAAAAGCGCAGCAGTTTCTACATGTTCCCGTCTCTCACCAGTGTCCTGGGGTTTCCCGGGCAGGCGTGTTTGGTGTGCGGGGAGGATCTCAAGTTTGGTCTGATCAGTAGTGCTGGCCAGCAGCTGCGTGGCCTCCAGGACGGAGCAGTGCTCTGTGCTGGTGCCGTCTATAGACAGGATATGATCACCCACGTGTAACGCTCCAGACCTGAGACGCAAACAGAGAACTGCTAGAACTGTCATAAATGTGGGACATCAATAACATCAAAACTCACCCAAATTACCCTAATAATGAATCTGAATGCTTTATTTCCCTCAGAAATTTGTGAAATGTATGGAAAAACAAAGTTATATGGCGAATTATGATTCATGTGGTATTTAAAATGTAATAGAAACAAGAATATATAAAATGCATATTCACAAAAAAAAAAAATCATCCATCTTAATAACTAAAACAGATTAAAATTACATTGATTAAAATTACATATTTCTGAGGGATTTAAGTTCAACTGTATTCAACAGTTGATCAATGTAAATGTGACTGTGTGCAGTTAATGACTATGAAGAATCTCTGTGGAAACTGGTCGTAAAATCGTTACGTAAGAATCGAAAGATGGAATCAAGTAATTTGTAAAACAATGTTTTGTTTTTTTCCCCTTTAAAATAACATCCTTCACATGGTTTTGTGAACATTTTTTTTTAAAAGAACATCATTTCCGGAAGAAGGATTTTACAAACAAATTTACAATATGTAAAAAGTAAAATAACTGTTTTTTTCAAACAGTTTATGTAATAGGAAAATCAAATTCTTTAAAAAATGGTTTTGTGAACAATTTGTGCAAAAAATAATTTGTGCAAGAATGCTTTTACAAACAATTTACTGTACATTAAAAGCAATGCATTTATTCAAAAATAGTTTGTTTACGATACATTTCTATAAAAATCAAATCAGTTGTGCAAAAATCGTTTTACAAATATAAAATCCTTTATGTAATAATTGTTTTTACGAATAACTTGCGTAGGAAGATTTACAAACATTTCTGTAAAAATGGCCATGGATAATTTAGGAAAAAAAGAATATCATTTGCAGAAGAATGGTGTTTCAAAAAAAACAATTTACATAAAAAAATAGATAAAGATAAATTCACATGAAAATAAAATACTAAATAAAAAAAAATACTTTACAAAAAAAAAAATCCATTGTAAGAATGTTTTTTATCAACAATTTGTGTTGGATGATTTAAAATCATTTACATAATATTAGCTTTGTGAAATATTTAGATATGGTTTGACAAACAATTTATGTGAAAATAAATACATTTATTTATGTAAAAATTGTTCAAATTACACAGACACACACACACATATACACACACATATATATATATATATATATATATATATATATATATATATGTAAGGGATAATAAACGGCTAGCTGTGCATTAAATGGTCATTTGCCAGCTTTCACATATTAAAGATGTTAATAATATTTGCGCTGCAATATTTGACCGGAACAATTTATTTATTTTTATTTTTATTTTTTATTTTTTTGTGAAAATGGTTTCACAAACCATGGTTTTACTAAAATTTAAATTTAAAATTAAATTTAGGTAAGTAGTAAAACCATTTACATAAGTTTTGTTTTACAAAAAAATTAAGAAACTAAATTAAGCAAATTATTTTTGTACACTATAAACAGTTTAACATACATTTCCATTATTGTAGATGACAAAGTCATTTTACAAAATGGCATCAGTGACAAAACATTGTTTTTTGCAGAAATCCTATGAAACTGCTCGATGATTTGTGTTGTTTTTCATGAAAATATGCAATTTTGGTTGTTTTTCCAAGCAGTTTGTGTAAGAAAATTGTTGTTTCACAATTTTACTGTTTACTGTGCTGGTGTTTGATGAAAGAGGCTCATTGAGTGTGTACCTGTCCACCACACTGGCGGGCTTGATCTTGTCGATGACGATGGCCTGTTTGTTCCTGTGCATGGCAGTGGTCAGAGTGATTCCCAGACTGGCTCCGGGCGCCTTGGCAATCTCCACCAGCAGAGGACCTGAAGCGTTTGTCATCGAGTCTGAGGGCAGGTGATAAGGACAGACAAGCACAGCATTGTTACGCTGTGATTTCTAAATGGATCCTTTCTGCAGCTTACATTCAATAAAGAGTCTTTTTGGAAGTTTTGAGCATCAAAAGTTTATTTTAAACCTCCATTTTCTAGGATACGACCTCGTTAACTCTACAAGGAGAACAACAGTGGGCGTTATGCTAATTGTGGCTAGCATAAATTAGCTTAACAGCATTGGTAAATGCGTGAGAGTTGTTTCTCCGCTCTTGAAGGTCAACAACCTGCTGTTCATCCAGACGAAACAGTGAAGATGGCTAAACAGAGCAGAGATCTCTGGAGAGAAGTGCTGTGTTTCTGGAGAATTTCTACAAATGGACAAGCACTCTATAAATCCTTAAGTAATTTGATCACCAGCCAAAATCATCACAATTAAAAGAACCAAAGACTTAAACTACTTCAGTCTGTGTGCATTGAGTTTATTTAATACACGAGTTTCACAATTTGAGTTGAATTACTGAAATAAATGAACTTTTCCACGACATTCTAATTTATTGAGATGCACCTGTACATTTGGGTCCATTTTGAGCCAGAAAAGATACATTAAATATTTCTAAAAAATAGTTTTCAGTAAGGAAACCAAAACTTTGTAAATGCTTTGTAAAAGACACTCAAAATACACTTACTTACTTATTTTATTTACTTATTTATTTTCAGACTTTTTACAATATTTTACTTGTGTATTAGCCGGGTATGTATGGAATACCATTAGTGTCAAAAATACTTTTTGTAAAATTATCTATGGAGTTACTCAATGTCAAAAAACTTTATAAAATATAGTTAGCCTTACTGATAAACATGAATATAAAGGCTTTGGACGAACTATTGCAGCATGAAAACTTTTTTTTTTTAATGAAAAAACATGTTTGTTTGTTTTTTTTACTGGCAATAAAAGCTTATGCAAGTCAAGTAAATTTATTTTGTCTGAAAACGTTTCAGAGTAATATTT